GCCCCGCTCCCCCCGCGCAGGTGCAGCCGCTGGTGACCCTGGAGCAGCTGCTGTGGGTGAGCGGCCGGCAGATCGGCGCCGTGGACACCTTCCGCATCCCGCTCATCGCGGCCACGCCGCGGGGCACCCTGCTTGCCTTCGCCGAGGCCCGGAAGATGTCCGCGTCCGACGAGGGCGCCAAGTTCATCGCCCTGCGGAGGTCCACGGACCAAGGTACAGAGACGCCGGCCCCGAGAGAGCTGTCCGGGTGTGCGCGGATCCTCACTGCCCAAGGGCCTGAGGGTCCCCCGGGGAACCCAGAGGGCTGAGGCCTGAGCCCTTGCGTGAAGGAGGGAAAGTGTCAGGCGAACTGAATATTCAGTCGACAACCTTTGTCATCTTTTCCTTCTTTTTTGGTGGTCCTGGGATTGAACTCAGGCCTTTGCATGCTAGGCAGGCGCTCAGCCTCTAAGCTGTGCATCCCATCCTCAACAAACATTTGTTGAGTCCCTGCTCCAGACCAGGCACGACTCTAGGCTCTTTTTTTTTTTTTTTTTGTCTTTTTGAGACAGGGTCTCGCTGTGCAGTTCAGGCTGGCCTTGAGCTCACTTTATATCCTAGGCTGGTCTGGAACTCTCAACGACCCACCTGTCTCAGCCTCCCCAGTGCTGGGATGACAGGCGTGCGCCTCCACTCCCGGCCTGTAGGTTCTATGGATAGGTGTTCCTTACAGCCGAGGTAGGGTCCTGTGACTCAGCTGTGGGCTGAATTTGGGCGCTAAATGAGGACTTGTGTATAGAATGCGCGTTACAGTCTTCCCAATAAAGAAGTGATTAGAGCTTAATGACTTTGCTTTTACTTGCATAACTCATCCGTGCAGTGCTGTAACATAACAGAAGTGCTGCGCAATGCACAACTACAGCCCTGAGCTGCAGAAGACGCCACTGTAAGGGTGCCCTGTCCCTCACATTCCTGAGTGGACATCCGAATGCCGGTTGGCAGTCCCTGGGGCCTGGTTCAAGTCTGAACAGTCCTTAACTGGGTTACGTTAGTCTTTAAAGATTTGTACAGCCCTGAACAGAACAGATGCTAGATCCCTACCTGCATGGAATTTGCATTCTTTTGGTGGGAGGTAGGCAGTGAGCATAATTAAAGGCTTGCTTTCTTATGTGGGAGAAGATGATGGAAGAATAGAGAAAAATGAAACAGCACGAGCTGTGGGGGGGGGTGCTTGTGTTTGGTTGCAACTCTAAATAGGTGCCATCGTGTGGACCTGGCCGTGGCAGGGCTGTGCAAACCCCGGCAAAGGGAAGTACGGGGAACGGGAGAGGAGCGCGTGGCCGGGTGGAGCGACCAGGGATTAGTAGCAGTGAGGTCAGAGAGGGAAGGAGGGCAGAACTTCTAGGGCCTGGTGCCCTGGTGCATTGGGTCCCTAAGGAGAGGCGGAAGTCAACAAGAAGCCGTGGAAAGCATGCTCCAGAGAGCTCACGCTGCGTCTCCTGCCTTCCCGTCCCTCCCAGGCAGCACCTGGTCCTCCACAGCGTTCATCGTGGACGACGGGGAGGCCCCCGACGGGCTGAACCTGGGGGCCGTGGTGAGCGATGCGGAGACAGGAGTTGTGTTTCTCTTCTACACGCTCTGTGCGCACAAGTTCCGCTGCCAGGTGGCCTCCACCATGTTGGTGTGGAGCAAGGACGACGGCGTCTCCTGGAGCCCGCCCCGGAACCTGTCCGTGGACATCGGCACCGAGATGTTTGCTCCTGGGCCGGGCTCCGGCATTCAGGTCTGTCCTGGCGGTGGTGGGCGGAGGGGCTGCCCTGAGTCCGGGCAGTGCCTGGAGGAGACCTCTCTCCAGAAGGAAGATCCGGGGAAGTCGGCTTTCCTGTTTGGGGTGGGAGTCCATGGAAGAATGGGTATCCTGGGAAACAGCAAGCCAGGGGAAGGTGGAACTTCGCTGCTACGCCTGGCGGGGTTCGTCAGCAAAACGCCGCCAGACTGGGTGGTGCCTTTGTGCGGAGTGGAGAAGGGCCCTCCCTCTGGGCAGACTCAGCCCTGTCCAGCATACTGCGGGGTGGGTGAGCTCAGGTTGGTTTAAGATCCCGTGCCTGGCACACGTCTAGCTGAGCATCTTCAGTGTCCCAGGACACTTTTTCTAAAAAAGAGCTTCTTGGCCAGGCGTGGTGGCGCACGCCTGTAATCCTAACACTCGGGAGGCCGAGGCAGGAGGATCCTTGCAAGTTTGAGACCAGCCTGAGCTACAAAGTGAGCTCAAGGCCAGCCTGAACTGCACAGTGAGACCCTGTCTCAAGAAAAAGAACAAAAATATATATATATATATATAAATAAAAAAGAGCTTCTTAATTTAGGTGGTCTGTGCGTGGGAGTCCTCTGAGACCCTCAGTAAAAGGCAGAACTGATCTGGCCTGCAACCCCAGTACGCTGGGAAGCTGAGGCAGGAGGATGACAGGTTCAAGCGCAACCTGAACGATCTGGAGTGTCTCAAAAAATTAAAAAAGGCTCAGGGCTCAGGCTCAGTGTAGAGATCTTGGGTTCAGCTACCCAGAACAGAAGAGCTAAAGGAGCTCCAGATGGGTCCTCACACTTGGGAGGAGGGGGCTCTCTGCCTGTGGGCCCCCGCAGCGTGCCCCTCTGTGACTGACGCTCAGCTCCCTTCCCACAGAAAAGGTGGGAGCCGCGGAAGGGCCGGCTTATCACGTGTGGCCACGGGACGCTGGAGCGGGACGGGGTCTTCTGTCTCCTCAGCGATGACCACGGGGCCACCTGGCGCTACGGGACTGGGGTCAGCGGCATTCCGTACGGCCAGCCCAAGGTGGAGAACGACTTCAACCCGGACGAGTGCCAGGTGAGGCGTCTGGGCGCGTCCCGCCCTTCACCCGCCCGGCCTCGCCCCTGCCGGGACAGGGACAGGGACGTGGCTGCCTGGTCCGCCTGAGGCCCTGCTCCCTCCCCTCAGCCCTACGAGCTCCCAGATGGCTCGGTCATCATCAACGCCCGGAACCAGAACAACTACCACTGCCGCTGCCGCATCATCCTCCGCAGCTATGACGCCTGTGACACGCTGCGGCCCCGGGACGTGACCTTCGACCACGAGCTCGTGGACCCTGTGGTGGCCGCGGGCGCCATAGCCACCAGCTCTGGGATTATCTTCTTCTCCAACCCGGCCCACCCGGAGTTCCGTGAGTGCGCGGGGGTCTCGGCGGCAGCCCCGGCGTCCGGACCGGCCTGGGAGGGCAGATCTTCCCCGCCTGACCCTCTCTCTCCCCCCAGGAGTGAACCTGACGCTGCGCTGGAGCTTCAGCAACGGCACCTCGTGGCAGAAAGAGAAGGTCCAGCTGTGGCCAGGGCCCAGCGGCTACTCGTCCCTGACCGCCCTGGAGAGCAGCAGGGGCGGGGAGAACGAGGCGCCGCAGCTCTACGTCCTGTATGAGAAAGGCCTGAGCCGCTACACGGAGAGCATCTCCATGGCCAAAGTCAGCATCTACGGCACGCTCTGAGCGGCGGGCGGGCGGGGCGTCGGGCCGCTCCTGCAGGGCCGGGGCTCTGGGGCCGCTGCGGACGCCTACGAGGCGGCGCCACCTTCCTTTGGACTCTGCAAAGTCAAGCTCTCTTTGCCAGAGAAATGAATCCGTTAGGATGGAAAGAACACTTTCCTCTCCCACGCGGAAGCTCTGCCCTCACCTGAGAACTTGCGCTTCCTTCCCGCGCGGAGGCCCCGGCGCCCCCAGGACCCCAGGACGGGCCGGCTCTCCCCAGGCGGGGCTGGGTGCGTCTGTAGAGCTGCGGAACTGTGAACTCGGGGCCCTGGGGGAGCCGGGCTCCCTCTAGGTGCTGGGAGGAGACGCGGGCTTTGGAGCTGCTTGGTGAAAGTCAGCTGGGGCGGGATGTTTGGTTTAAGGGTGAGGAACTAAGTAGGCTGTCGCCCTTAACTATTTATGGATCAGATGTTCACAGTGTGAAAGTTGGTAGTGTGTGGTTCTGTCAGTGCGCACCTTCACGTCCGTTTGCTTCATGTGCTCTCCTGAGGCGGCGCGAGTTTGGGGAGGGAGCTGGGCTGCTTGTAGCTTGGAGGAGTCAGTTCAGCAGTCCAAGCCCTCTTTTTTTGTTTTCTTTTGTTTTTCTTCCAGTACCGGGAATTGAACTCACGACCTTGCACTTCCCAGGCAGGTGCTGTGCCACTGAGCTAAATCCCCAGCCCCTCCAAGCCCTCTTTTCCCTTTCACATTTCCTCTTGTACAAAATGGGAAAACAAAAACGTGGGGTTTTTTTTCTCTCAGGACTGGGTATTGAACTCAGGGCCTTCCTACTGAGCTCCATCCCCACCTGTTTTGTTTTATTTTATTTTATTTTATTTTATTTTATTTTATTTTATTGTCTTTTTTGAGACAGGGTCTTCCTATGCAGTTCAGGCTAGCCTTGAGCTCACTTTGTAGCCCAGGCTGGTCTCAAACTCGCAGTGATCCTCCTGCCTCAGCTTCCCGAGTGCTGGGATTACAGGCGTGCGCCACCACGCCCGGCTTATTTTTTTATTTTGAGACAGAATCTCGCTGAGTCACTCTATGCCCAGGCTGGTCTTGAAATTGTGGTCCTCTTGCCTCAACCTCCTAGCGTGCTGAAATTACATGTGTAGAGACACGCCCAGCTCAAGTTGGTCTTCATAGGCGTATTGAGGAGTACAAGGGGAGCTCCATAAAATATTCTGAGCCTGGCAGGTGGAAGACAGGTGAATCCCACCTGTAATTTCCCCATGAGTCTGAGGCCAGCCTGGGCTACGTAGTGAATTCAAAACCAGTCTAGGGCCAGGGATACAGCTCAGTGACACAGCACCTGCCTGGCAAGTGCAAAGTCCTGAGTTCAGTTCCTGGTACCAAAAAAGCCAGTCTAAACTGGTTTTTAAAAAAATGTTTTGAAAGCTGCTCTTTTATGTTTTTTGTTGTTTTGTTTTGTTTTTAGATAGGGTCTTGCTATGTAGTTTAGGCTGATCTTGAACTGTGTAGTCCAGGGGGGCCTTGAACTTGCAGTGGTTCTCCTGCCTCAGCCTCCCAAGGGCTGGGATTGTAAGTGTGCATCACCACACCAGGCGTCCGTCTCTGTTTTATAGTTCCGAGGTGGGGTGGGATACTGTGTTCCACGAACTGGGGCACAGGTGTGTCAAATCAGATGGAAAGCCTGTCCCAGGTGCTCTGTGGAGAACGAAGTACTTTCTGTGAGAATTAGTGAGGAAGCAGCACTTTGATTCTAAATCACACGCTTGCAAGGAAGGGCAGCCTGCAGTGAGCAGGTGAGTGGGAGAGCCGAGGCTTTCCTCCATGTGGAACAGAAAGGAATGTTAATGTTAAAAGGAGCCAGGCAGAATGTCCCACACTAGGAAGCCCAGCGCTTGGGAGGCTGAGGCGGGAGGATCACTCCACTTGGGAGGATCAAGGCCATCTTGAGCTACACAAGGCCAACCTGGACTGCATACCGAGACCCTGTCTCAAAAACTACAACAAAAAGTGATCTCCTGCCTCAGCCTCCTGGAGTGCTATTTTTAATGCCACCAGACAGTCATTTGTCCTGTGGAAAATTGTACTGTCTGAATTGTCAGTTTGTTTCCGTCTGTTCTCTGACGTCTTCCTTCCTGTTTCCAGTAGTTAAACCTCTGAAGGTTTGGCTGGGTTCAGATTCCATTTTGGGGGAGTAAGATGATATTTTTTGTTTCATTTTTTTGAGACTGGGTCTCCCTAGCCCAGGCTGGCCTGGAACTCACAGTGATCCTCCCGCCTCAGCCTCCTGAGTGCTAGAACCACAGGCTGTGAACCACCACCGCAGCTGGAGGAACCGATTATAAGTGAGACTGAGCAGGGGTTCAGATGGCCACAGCCCAGCCCCCCTCTGTGCATTTCTACCATCAGCCTCCAACTGACACATGGGTCTGGTCTGATGCGGTTATTTCATGAGGAGTTGCAAAATGGTGATTTTTTTAACTTCCATCCTATCTTCCTCATGTACTAGCTGGAATTCTGCAACGAGGAGCCATCCCTCATTAAGACAGTTTGGTAACCCTGAAACATGGTCTGAAAGGAAAGATAAGAAACAGCCAGGCATGGTGCCACATGCCTGTGACCCCAGCACTTGGGAAGCTGAGGCAGGAGGATCTCTGAGTTCAAGGCCACCTTGAGCTACATAGTAAGACCCTGTCTTGGAGAAAAAGAAAAGAAAAGAAGAAACATGTTTCATTTCCCCATAGACTGCCAGTTCTCAGAACACAGTGGTGTAATACTTGGCCTTGGTCAGTGAACCACTTACCCAACGGGACGCGAGCAGAGGCCAGTCCATGGGCCTGCAAGCAGCAGTGGGGCAGGCTGGCCTGGTGGCTCACACCTGTCACCGCAGCACTTGGGGAAGCTGAGGCAGAAGGGTCACTGCAAGTTCAAGGCTCAAATAAAGGCAGCGGCGGGAGAATCCCAGCAGGGATGAATGTGAGCGCCAGCCGGCTAAGGGGCGCTGGGGTGCGGCGCAGGGGCTCGGCGCGCATGTGAGGCCGCGCTCAGTACCTGTCCCCACACGGGAGGTTCGTGCAGATCGCTGCGCAGGTGAGAAGCCAGGTGGGGGCTGCGTCCACGGCAGTGGGGGTGCCTCGTGCCGCTCCGCAGGACGCACCTGACGAAGTCTCACTGACAATTGTATATTGTTTTCACGGTACTCGGGATTGAACCCAGGGTCTGAACTGAGCTATAACCCCAGCCCTTTTTATTTTTCATTGTTTGAGACAGGGTCTCATGAAGTCTTGTCCGAGCCAGGCTCACACTTTTGATCCTCCTGCCTCAGCCTCCTTGAGTGCTGGGAATACAAGAATGTGCCACCACAACCCACAATTGCTGGCATTTTGTATATCAGAAATAGTAGAAGGGATGGCCGGAGGTGGTGACACATGCCTGTAACCCCAGCACTCAGGAGGCTGAGGCAGGAGGATCGTTGCAAGTTCAAGACCAGCCTGGGCTACCAAGTGAGCTCAAGGCCAGCCTGAACTGCATAGCGAGACCCTGTCTCAAAAAGACAAAAAAAAAAGTGGAAGGGGATGGGCATTCTGCGCCTGTCTGACCCACTCCCTTGCCTGGTACGACAGGAGGGAGAAGCAGCTGGAGGCTTGTGCTGACCATGGGAGAGACCCTCAGCACAGAGAGGGTCCTGAGGACCTCCTCCTCCCTGGGGTGGGGTCAGAACACACTAAACCAGGGCCAGCCGGGCGTGGTGGCGCACGCCTGTCATCCCAGCACTGGGGAAGCTAAGGCAGGAAGATCACTGCGAGTTCCGGGGCAGCCTGCACCACTTAGTGAGATGGTGAGTTCAAAGTCAACCTGAATGACACAGGGAGACCTTATCTAAAAAAAAAAAAAAAAAAAAAAACAAACCAGGGCTGGGCGTGGTGGCGCACACATGTAATCCCAGCACTCCAGAGGCTGAAGCAGGAGGCTCACTGTGAGTTTGAGAACAGCCTGGGCTACAAAGTGAGCTCAAGGCCAGCCTGAACTGCATAGTGAGACCCTGTCTCAAAAAGGCAAAATAAATTAAAAATTTAAAAATAAATTTTAGGGAGCTGGGGATTTAGCTCAGCAGCACAGGGCCTGCTTGGCAAGCACGAGGTCGTGAGTTCGATTCCTGGTGCTGGAAAACAACAATAAAAAAAAATAAATAAATTTAAAAACTCAGAGCCACCCCGCAGCTTTGGGGCCCCAGCCCATTCCTGCAGGTTTTATCTCTAACTAGGCCCCCAGGGTTTGCTTTGCTCTTGTTCTGCTTCATTGAAGGCTGAACTGGCCCTTGAGTGGGGAAACAGCTCAGCGGCTGGGTACTTGCCTGTCAAGCTCGAGGTCCTGAGTTTGATTCCCGGTTCAAAGAAAAACAAAACAAAAAAATGAGTGCTTCACTAGTGCTTGGCTGTGGAATTACACCCCACACGCTCTGGGTAATGTATTTTTAAAACATTATTATTCTTTATTTTGTTTTCCTTAAAACCACATTTTTAAATTAAGTGTAGAAACACACTTTTTGTTTGTTTGTTTGTCTTTTTGAGACAGGGTCTCGCTATGCAGTCCAGGCTGGCCTTGAGCTCACTTTGTAGCCCAGGCTGGTCTCCATCTCACAATGATCTTCCTGCCTCAGCCTCCCGAGTGCTGGGATTACAGGTGTGCGCCATCACACCCGGCCCAGAAACATATTCTTGTAACCCCAGCCATTCAGGACACTGAGGCAGGAGGGTCTTCATCCCACACCGGTGGGGCAATTTAGTGAAAGCCTGTCTCAAAATAAAAAGAGAGAGGATGGAGCTCGTCATTCCCAGGGTTCAATCCCCAGGATCGGAAAAAGGAAAGGAAAAAAAAAATGCCAGTCCTCTGTGGGTGGACCAGCTTCTAGCTTCTGTCTGGTTTGCTTGGTTTGGTTTCGGTTTCGTACCCCAGGGTCTCATTCTGAGGTGCCCTGAACTCACTGCATGGTGTGGGCTGGCCTCAAGCTCCCGTGGTGTGATCCTTCTGCCACAGCTTTCCAGGTGCTGGGGTGCCAGGCATGGGCCACCGCGCCCAGCCTCAGTCTGTGTTCTTGATGGTGCAGAAAAATAAGCGTCTGGAAAATTCCTGACCCAAGGCCGGACACAGAGTCACCGGTTTGTGATCCTTCCTTCTCAGGAGGGCTGCAGGTTCATGGCCCGCTGGGGTAATTTACCACAATAAAATAAAAAGGAGCTGGGTGTGGTGGCCCATGCCTGTAATCCCAGCACTCAGGAGGCTGAGGCAGGAGGATCATTGAAAGTTTGAGGCCAGCCTGGGCTACAAACTGAGCTCAAGGCCAGCCTGAACTGCATAGCGAGATCCTGTCTCAAAATGACAAATAAATCAATTAATTAAAAAATAAAAAGGACTGGGCTGTAGTTCAGTGGTAGAGCACTTGCTCAGTCTGCTTGTGGTCCTGGGTTTAATCCCC